ATTTTCATTGTCAGGAGACGACTAAACTGAATATTGCATGTTCTTCCTGGCTGATCTTTATAAAACTCGTGTTATCTGTGGGTTTTGTTACTTGATTTTATTCTTTACGCTATACACCCAACAACTTCCTCGGACAACTGAGAGATGCCCATTAAATGAAGCATACTCAAGCAGTGCACAAACAAAACTCTTTTGAGCTCCTTTAGTACAGAGCTGTAAGTGAATCACTTCACCTGCACCACCATAACTTCACACTCCTGTCTGCAGCATACCTGCCCCACAGTTACGACTCCGTGTCGGTTATCCTGAAGGTGAGCCAGGTGACCTCGATCCGCACAGCCCCCAGGGCTGCTTCAGGGATGCAAACTGTACCTAAGGGGTACGTCACTTGCTCAGCTGCTGCTGCTAAATAATTCGGCTACTCCACATTAGGTAACTACCTAACGCCTCTTTCTATGGAATCCAGCTAATTTTTATATACCTCCAATCCACTTCATAAAAACCATGAAAAAGATTTTCCTTATCTTTTTGCAGGATATACCACCAACTTGTGTAACAACCAAAGCTAACAAAGAAAAGACTGCACCTGCCTAAAAGCCAATTTTATGCCTGAAAAAACTTGTAGTAATGTAGACTCTAATTTCTAGCTCAAAGTTCTACACCAAAACAATTACAGAAAGCTGATTACAGAAAGTTACCAGTAAAAGGAATTACAGCAATTATAGTAAAACATACCAAGTTTCCTCTTTTCCATATTGGCCAGTAAGAATGACCCATGTTAAGACAGCAAATCCAAAATAAATCTGGTAATCTGGTTTCATACAGATAATTTTATTAATTCTTTAATATGCAATTAAGGAATAGTCAGTGGACTGCAGGATTTTATTAGGCAATAATCCTGTTCCCTGGTGCACAGCTTTGTCCCAAAGAGTAGGTTATCAAAAAAAAAAAAAAGAGCTGGATGACTGCCAAATCAAACAGCACCTTCTTCCCATTTTCAATTACATACAAGTGAGGCAGAGTAACGAGGATACACTGGAAACTTTGACATTTATTTATTGAAAATTTTACTGAGAAGGAATTGCTGGCTTGCTAAACCGGAAACTATAATTTTACTACAGAAACAATTGCATAGAAAACCAGGATCCTGCTGCTCAGCATGAAAGGAATGGCTAGAACCAATAAACTGACCCATCTAAGCCAGCAAAGATTACTTCGTTCAATGCAGCACATATTTCAAAAATCCCAAACCCCAAAATACAGTGTGTATTTCAAAAATCCTGATGTCATACTATTTCACACAGCACTGTCTTCTGTGACTCAGCCAGGCTGTGTTACGGTTCACAGGCACAACAGTCAAGACCTAAGAAAACCACTAAAAGAAAAAAGGTGTAGCATTTGTAGGGGCAAATGAAAAGTTAACCCAAGTTGCAAGAAGAAATTCAGAAGATTTTCTCTCCTTTCTGGAGATTCTAAATAACCAAAAGATGAAACAGGGAATAACTCTCCACACTGCACGTTCTTTTTTCTTTTTGGCTAGACCAGTTGTTTTAATTCAGTTTTAGCACAGAGGAGAAAAATGCAGGGAGAGTAAATGAAGAGGAAAATAGGGAAGTCAACATTCTTTGAAGCAACAACATATGGTGACCAGGCATGAGAAATGAAGGCTATAAATCTTTCCTTGATAGAATTACCTAAAGATGAAATTGCAGCTTCGAGGGGCTTGAGCTTTTAAATCCACACCAGGATCTAGCAAATTAACCTGCATGGTTACAAATTTTGCAATAACCTTCATTTTCAATGCTTCTTTGCAAAAGCTCAGCATACTGAAAATTTTGGTACTATTAGAGATGTGGTCAATAGAATGCATGAAAACCTTTACTCCACAAATCACTCAAAATAAGAATAAAAAGAAGGGAAAATTAAGAATTAGTACAAAATGCTGCATCCTGCAAATAGTCACTGCAAGTCACTGCTATTTGATAGAAAGGGAAAGGAGATACAAGAAAAAAAAAATTCACTCTGAGGGTGGTAAGGCACTGGAACACGTTGCCCAGAGAAGTTGAAGATGCCCCATCCCTGGAAGCGTTCAAGGCCAGGTTGGATGGGGCTTTGAGCAACCTGGAGTAGTGGAAGGTGCCCCTGCCCATAGCAAGGGGGTTGGAACTGGATGATCTTTGAGGTCCCTTCCAACCCAAACCATTCCGGGATTCTATGATTCCCTGGCAGAAGCCTGGCAGCACTACTGCTGTTGCTTATCACTAGTGGGTTTCATGTGTCTGGTCAGCAGCCAGTCCCTTTGTCAGCAGAGCATGTTGAAGCTAGACTAAGATTATCACAAGTGATTTTGAGCCAACCCATGAAAACTAGACAGCTTTTAAGCATTTTGATTTTGACATTCAGTGGAAACGTCCAAAAACGATTCTGAGAAATGTGACCAAAATCGCTGGGACAAATATAGTAAAAATTGCCCTTCAAACAAGCACAGACATAAGGAAAGAGGGTAAAAACCCACACAATCTTCTCCATTACTATTAGGCTGAGCAAACAACGAACTTTGGAAAGCACAATAATTAAGCACTAACCATCTATTTCGAGGACAGATAATAAATTCTGTAATTTGCAGAGTTTACAATAATGCTGAATACTTGCAGCAACAGCTCTAAGTAAGGTTTGTTTTGGAAGATGTGTTAGAAAAATAAATGTAAGAGAAGGCTATGGAACTGCAATGCTACATATGCATTTATGCACCCTCTGCCCCCAAAAGACATTTATTCAGTTTCTTGACACCATGAATTATTTTAAAAATATTTTTACATAATCTATTTGCTGTGTGATACAACTGACATTGCCATTGGTGGCACCTCTTTAACAGCAATCCTCTGCACACACACTAAGTCAAAACACTTAGTGGGTGGTTTCTTCACTCCGCAGAGACGTTGTGGCATCTTGGACAGGATTCAGGGCCTCACCTGGCTCCCAGTGATCACCACAGGCAGTATGATGGAAAGAAATATGCTACAAATGCCCAGTGGGATGTATAATAGCAGCAGTTTCCAAACTACTTTCCCCTTTTCTGTTTCAGAGATATCCCAGGGAAGCCCATGGGCTTGACCTGTAACTCAGTGAAACAAAGGGAAACTCTCCTGCTGACAAGCAAAATCCTTGGAACCAGACCTGACATGAATAGCTGCTGAAGCACCGAAAAAGACAGAGGCTGCCTTTGGGAAATCCTTACGCAGTGCTGAGGCACTGCATTGAAATTTGTATTTACTCTTTTTCTTTATGTACCAGTATTAACTTACGTGATTCAAGCAAAGATGGGAAGGGAGCACAAGGAGGCATCAAATCCAGCTCCCTGACAGTCACAGGTAAGCACTTAGGAGAAGTTTACTCCAGGAAGACCCACAGAACCTGCACGGTACTTACGACAAGGCAAACACATCCCATAGCCAAAGAGGCAGGAGCCTCCTGACATATTGTAACGGTAAGAGGGTTAACACTTTTTAAATTGAAAAGTCTATGACATGACTGGTTCAAAGGATCTAGTTTTGCAGAAGAAGATTTCTGAAGGAGTGTGCTATGCAGATTGACAGTATAAAATATACGTATCAGTTCTGCCATTATTGGATATGCTTCTGAAATATATATATATAAGAGCAGGGTTAAAAACTAAAGGTGAATGAATATACTAAAATGATATAAAAACACATCACAGAAAATCTCACAGCATTAGATTTTTCTAATGGTTATGAAGACAGACTTAATAAAATCAGTTTTGAGATGTTCAGTTATTGCATAACAGTGTAAAGCATCTTAAACTTGGAATGAAATATATGTGTATTTGAAGGCAAAAGATTAACAGAAGAGTAAGAATTAAATATGAAGTCCTGTCACCAAAAGTTGCTACTGAATTACATTTATCCAAACAAGCTCTCCTTACAAGCACTAGAATTATTAAATACAGATATATATTGTACTATATATTTGTTGCAATGGGATTAACTTTAATGGGAAAACTCCTACGAAAGGAAACTGCTATTCCTGCTAACATATACCGCACTGTAGTATATTCACATTTGAAAATGTCACATTTGGAAAAAAGCCAAACACAGCCCAGTTCCTCATCTTATGCTGAGCTGTTCATTGATTCCAGTGGAACTGTGTCAATCTAGCTAGGTCGAGAAGCTCAGCCCCGTTTCAGAAAATATTCAAAATTTCATCTACAAATACCTGTGCCTGACAGGCATCATACGGACCATCCTGATAAGTATTTTTTTCCAAATGGATGCAATGTACTGTTTAGCGTCCTTGTGTAGCATGAAGAGAGGACATGTCTTATACCAGTGGAATTGCCAGGTGGAAAAACAGATATGATTTTGGGCATTCAGACCCTTCTTCAGGTTTCTGTATACTACTGTTGTTTATATAAATGAAGCTAAGTCATGCTTTGGCTGATCCACTGAACATAAAAGCCTTACTGCTACTTTTACAACTGCTAATGGATTGAAATAACATGAATAAACATGAAGTTCCATCCTCATTATTAACTCTGCATTCACTGTGGGCAAGACATGAGGCATAGGTGTGTCATTTTTTACTGCATAAATAGTGCTATGTTGTTTCTTATGTTTAACATTCCTCAATACGAAGGAAAGAAAGTAGGGCAAACATAACTGAGATGAAAGTGTGACCTTCTTGCAGGATCAGAGCCTTGCCAAATACCCTTTTTTTGTCTGTAAAATTATATGGCCTAACTCCATAGACAGCAGCTTCTACTTGCATGTCCCTACAGTCAAAAGACAAATGAATCTTCAATACACCGAAATAACATACAAAGTTAAAAAGAGGGTGGAGCAAAAGTGATGCTGGCTCTTGTCCGGCTGTGTAGAAGGTACAAACTTTTCCACTTAAATTAAAGTCTGTGCGTGGTGCCAAATGTCAAAGTGTAAAACACATTAAAACTGAAGAAAAAAATAAATAAATCAGGTACTGCATACCTGTATAGAAGCAAAATCCCCAGAAGCACAGGCTCCAAGAATAGCAGCACCCACCAAAACAGACTCCACTTCTTTGGACAGGACAACAGGCTTGCCTATACAAGAAGAAGTTGTGCCTCTGTTAGGAAGAACAGAGCAGTACTGCACTAGCGGCACAGTAAATAATTAAAGCACAAAACACAAACAAGAAAGGAATGAAAAAGGGCTTGTAAATCATGTTCCTAACTCCATTCAGAGCTACAGTCTACTGTAGATTAATGCAAATCTCTCTGCTTTGCGGTTTCAGGCTCCAAGAAAAATGCAGAACTTAAATAAAACAATTGCAGCAAAATGTTAGTGCAGAACATAAAGCACACAAAGAACAATCCCCAGATCTTTGACACTGGCTACTTATCTCCAAGGGCTTGATACAAACCTGTTACCCACACCCTCCAAACTCACGTGCCTATTAGAAGTCGACCTCGAGGGGAAAACTTCTGTTTCTTTTGCAACAAACAAAAAAGATTGTTTGTGTTTGTTTTTAAATATATAGCCAACAAAGCCAGTCTGGTTTTGCTGGAAGACATGAAAACATGACTAGTAAACTTTTACAAGCTATGTATGAAATAATAAGAGAAATCTTCTCTTCCAAATTGTGCAAGACAGTTGAAAACAAGATTAAAACTGGAAAAACAAACAAACAAACAAACTCACTCAATATATATTCTGAAGGAGAATTAGAAATTATTGTTTCATCACCCATGGGTACTACTGTGAACATACTTTCCCTTGATTCACACAAAGTGTCTTAAGACCTGCATTACTAGTGTAAAAACAGCAGGAAAAAGACTAATAAACAAATAAAAATCTGCCTGCTTTCTTGATTCTCCTTAAAAATCCAAAACAACAGCCTAAGTCTAAATACTTCTCTAGCTGCACTTTAGATACTTATCCTCACTAAGCCAAAAAATTTAATATTCCTACAGTATTTGGCATGTGTCTAAATTTTCATTACTGAGATAATTTCGTTCAATGAATGATGATGCAAACGCAGTGGTGGGAGGAGGGCTTCCTTCTGTGAGCAGCCTCAATGATATTATACCCCAAAAAATGCTGCTTCTGAGAGCCAACCAGAAGGTTAGAAGGAGCTGAAATTTGGAGGAAGATCTAAAGCGAGCCATGAACAACCGCTACAGAGGAAAAGGCAAATGCACACTTTTCAAAATGAGAAATAAAATTATAAATGTAAGAAATAGAAAGCAAATTCACCTTGCACGCCAAGTGTCCAGCTACATTGTGCTAACTGTGCCCTGTTCCGTCAGTGTGAAGCTCCTTACAGCCATCTTCCCGTGAGTGACACAGAGGTGGCACAGTGGGCTTTGTGCCACTTCTTCCTCCCGTTAGAGGCAGAGCGACAGGGAAGTGGACAGAGTAAGACCTTGTCTGACTGCTGGAATGACTACTAACAGCAAACTCCTGTAACTACAGCATCCCTTAAATCCCTCTGACCAAACAAATCCACCTTCAAACCATTAGTGTAGGATCAGTCACCTGAGCATTCCTCCAGGTCAGCTGGACCACAGCTCAGGACTTGGGTCAACTTGGAACAGCAAATCTAAACCTCAAGCTTACAGCTACACGGCTGCGTGCCAGGCGCTGAAGCAGTGAGCAATTTTCAGCGGGCTCTAAAATTTACTGCACATTTCCCGCATCATCAGAATGAATACAGAATTTTAACCAGCAAACAAAAAGATCAAGATGCTTTTTAAGTGGCCTGAGAAGTTATCTATTGGATGTCTGCATGGCTGAGTCACGGGCATTTGGAGCTAACAATAATATATTCAGATTTTTTTCTTTTCAGGAAAGAATGGGGGATTGATCCTGGAATGTTAGTTATTTTATCTGATAGGCTCTAATGAGTTCGACATAACCAAGAGCATTTCAGTCAGATGAACTCTGACATCCCTTGTCAGTCACTGATTTTACAAACGGGGGAGAAAACTCCGGGCTGCAAAAAGGCCTTTTTGTACTGGATTGTACTTGGCCATTAGTTACAGTCAAAGAACTTCTGATTACATTTTAATCAGAATACCTTTCACAGATCTTTTATTTTACACATCACAAACCAGCACTCCAACTCTTCATGTAGCTGAAACTCCCCCAAAACATTGGAGTTATGTAAGGAAAGGCATCACTTGACAATATCATTTTTCCACAAACAGAAAGCATCACTTGGACTACAATGTATTTAGTGAATTTCTAAGGTCAATAGGCATTATGCTTTTTGCTTCTCCATTTCTGTTTTCATCTCAGTAAGTACATAAAGTATATTTTCGTCTTCCCTCCTGCATCAAGGCTATAAAATGTGGTTTGATGTCAGGATATGTCAAATCTCCAGACCAAACGCCCCAAATCTGAGCCTTAAACTTTATTCATGACAGCTCAACTGGTCTTAATTTGAAATATACCCAAAACATACATCATTCAAAGTTTCTCTAAAGTCCCTTACACTAAATTTTGTTATTTTTTCCACATTTTTTAAAGCATATTCAACTGACTCACAGGTATGCTAAGATGTTCAACACACACAGGCTTAAGGAAGACCAAAAATACCATGCAAGCCTGAGACCTCCTCCTCTTGTAATGAACCACACACCCAGAACCTTCCACCCACCAGGAATTCTACAAAACAAATGCAACACCATGGAGGAGCAAGGATGCAGAAATTGTCCCCTAAACCACATTAATGACACAGACAGGGAAGTAATTCAGAAAATAATTGTTCTATATAATGGATACAATGTCCAGCATGAGTAGGAAGTGTCAGGAGAAGTCCAAAAGAATTCAAATAGGATGAAGCTGATAGAGATTTTAATAAAATACATCTTATGCAAACCATGCTCACAAAATGTACTGGGCATGATCCTTGTCTAACTAACTTGTAATCTGACTGAATGGAATAATTTCTATAGAACGTTTCAAATAATTTTTAAAAATAAAAATCTGATAGCGAGAATAATTTTTGACATGTAATTTATACATACTGTTTTTAAAAATCTCATACAAAGCATTTATATGTATACAATTGCAGTTTCTTAAAAAACCTGTAAATCTAAGATCCACAGATTGGAAACCATGCTGGAGGTTTCACCAGAATTCTGTTTTCTAACAATACAACATATGGAGCTTCGCCTGCACCACATCTCGGTGTTATTCACATGTCTTTACATTTCAGGAAATCCAGTCTTGCAGGAAGTAACATTTCATTACACACTTTCTGGCCAACCAGCAAAATACAGTTCTATATAAAGAAAGTATTTATTTTTCCAAAGACAAAGTATTTAGCCACCTAAAATAAAGTAGTTTACACTCATTTCCCTGCACTTCCTCTAACTTACCAGTAATGTCAGCGTGCATCTGCACAAAGAGAGGGTTCTTGCTTAGCCCACCGCACAGAAACAGCGTGTTGACACGATGCCCTGCAGCCTGCATAGTTTCCAAAATATGCCTTGTTCCTAACTTCAAAAAGGAGGAAAAAACAAACAAACAAAACCAATCAGATGAGCACAGGAGAGCAGCCACAGGAACAGATCTTAAAGCACAATTTGATAAAAATAATGATGCTACTAACTGTCCCGACCAGTAACCTGAGGGCTGGGAACAGACCTGCAGGGGTACGGTCTCTGCTTAGCTTCCAGTCAGTGACAAGTACTGTCATTAAGAATCAGAAAAATACTATAATCATAGAATGGTTTGGGTTGGAAGGGACTTCAAAGATCATCCCATCAACTTCAAAGTTCCAACCCCTCTGCTATGAGCAGGGACACCTTCCACTAGATCAGGTTGCCCAAAGCCTCATTCAACCTGGCCTTGAACACTTCCAGGGATGGGGCATCTACAACTTCTCTGGGCAACCTGTTCCAGAGCCTCACCGCCTTCATTGTAAAAAATTTCGTCCTCATAACTAATCTAAATCTCCCCTCTTTCAGTTTAAAGCCATTACCCCTTGTCCTATCACTACACACCCTTGCAGAAAGGCCCTCTCCATCTCTCTTGTAGCCCCTTTAGGTACAGGAAGGTGCTGGAAGGTCTCCCCGGAGCCTTCTCTTCTCCAGGCTGAACAGCCCCAACTCTCTCAGCCTGTCTCCATAGCAGGGGTGCTCCAGCCCTCAGATCATCTCCGTGGCCTCCTCTGGACCCACTCCAACATCCCCATGTCCTTCTTATCTTATTATCAAATTATCGATTATCAAATAGATGGCACAAAGAATTGGGAAGTACACAGGCACAGCGTATTGCTGGAAACATCCTGGGGCTGGCTGAAGAAGTGGAGATGCACCAGTACACAATAACACAGGGAAATGGGGCTTACAGGGAAGTACTGACTAGGGTGAAGACAGGGATTATAAGACACAGGAATAAGCACCAGGAAAAACTGACAGCAGTGATAAGCAGGTGTTTGTGACCAAGTGCAGCAGAATACAGAAAACATTTCCAGATCCAGAACTAAAACCTACGTGGCAAAGTCATCCCCACCAAAAATTTCTATTTACTTTGTATAACAGCATCTGAAAATTAGTCTCAGTAAAGAGTTTTCAATTCTGAAGCCAAATAGGAAAACAGAACAAAAAAAGGAGCAAATAAAACCCTGTGTTTTCTGTCTTTTCAGCAAAAAGGAAAACCCGAAGAATTTTGCATTGGCTTAACTATTTCTCTTGGCCTTTGCCCTATGCAAAATAAAATGTTCCGTTTCATGCCTGGATTAATCGAAACCTCTAAAACGTAGGCATATTTTTAAACTTTTCATTTACAGTCTCCATTCTGAGAAACTCACATTAGAACTGCTCAGTGCTCCGCTCCGCGAATGCTGAAAGCAAAAGCTTTGCCATTTAAAAAAATTCTTTTCTCTTTTTGTTTGCCTTGCTTGCGTCCAACTACTCGCTGAAGTCAACCTTCTCCCTCTTCCCAGAACGCTTTCCATTTCTTTGAACAACTGTTTGTCCAAAAATAATTTCCCGCTCTTTATAATACCTTGGAAGTTAATTTTGAAGCTCAGACTTGACAAAATGCCAAATTCAAGCCAAAGTTTTGCCCAAGCTGCCTCCTTTCCCCACTAAACACAATCTGGTCAAAGTTTTCACGAACTGTCGTTTCAATTTTGTTTATGCTGGGCTGCAAGCTCGTTAAGAGTCTGCAGCCTGCAACAAACCCCTCTTCAAATAAAAGCTACTGAAAATTGAAGCTCGCAGAGTTTCATCAGACTGGAGGCGTTTGCCATGAACGACTGGCACCGTTCTGATACGCCTTCAAACGTATTTTGGTTTTTCAGGCAAGCGGTTACGAGGAATTTCAGCAGTCACACCACCAGCTGACTAAATCCATCGCTTCCCTATTGGCACAGAGGGCTAATCTCCAAATCACACAGCCACGATTTTAATTATGGAAAAATAAACTGCTCTCAAAAGAGCCTGTCTCCTCAGAACGGGCTTGACGGCCACAATTATATCTCTGATCGTGTTCTCATCCGCCTAACTGTTGCATCGCATTTTGCAATGAATAGTTAAAAGGATATTCTCTTTCACTACTTCTGAAATTCACATTTATTAACAACTTCTCTCACAACGTACACACGTCAAAGACCCTGAGAAAGAACACGCTGTGAAAATTATTTTGTGTTTACCTGCCTGGAAAATTGCATTCACACAGCAATTTAAATTAAAACCAGACTTATTTCACTGTGGGTGGGGGGGAACTAATTTAATCCTGGATTGGAGAAAATGCAAATTGAGGGGCTTCAAATGCAAATTTTATATAGAAAGAAAAAAGCC